GACACTTCCCTTGTATTACTCAACACTTTTCTACATGAAAATATTATATCCAGATTGCAAATTTGTATTTTTCGCCAGAAATCTTTAAAATTGAGAAATTTTCAACGAGCCAAAAAAGTGGTGCGTCGCGTTGCGTTTTGTGCGTCTCGACCAAAAACCGACGTACGCTTCAGTCTTACGGCATAGATTTTCAGTGTTGTGAAACTCAAAATTCTCCTTTTTCTTATCGCTAAAAGCTGTTTAAAAATTTTATCCGCCCACATTTTTCCGGAAAAATTTTTCTCCGCAGAATTTGCGGTATCTCTGTTTTTTCGAAACGACATGTAAATGCGCTCAAATGCTAATTTTCTTAAAAAAAAGCGTGGGTCTCGATGCGACAACTTCAAATTGAACTGCCAATGCTTACGGTTTTGTGCCTGAATTCCATTGGAAAAAAGCGCGGGAAATTTTTTCCGGAAAAAAAGCACCGAGATTTTCAGAATTCCGAATCCCGTTTTCCAAAAATTACAGCTGAAAGCCTTCTTACCCTTTTCGGATCCTCCTGAGTATTCAAAATGAAATCTGTAATACAGCCATACATGGTTGCATTCTTCCCACTGTAGATTCTTTGCATGCATTGCCAATTGTCAGATGCCACTGAACAAAGCTTATTGGATCTTACCACGAATACAGTAACCCACAATAGAATCCAGCACCACATTGGTACTGTAGCATGCTCATCAGGAATCCATAGGAATATGCTTGGTTGGGAGCGGTTGAGTGATGCAGAAGAAATCCAATATCAAAACATTCAAAAGTTGAAGTTGATGCGGCCGCCAAACATTGAACCATCGAGTTGTAGGCGCTGAACGTTTTGTTATCATTGGAGCGCACTTGTTTTTTTTGGTAGAGCGTGTTTTCAACTTACTTACAAACCACATTCAATCCTCTTGCTGCTGCAACTCCTCCGTTTATATAAATATCTTGAATCTGTAGAGTCAGTCCCAATGGATTCAGCCTAAAATTTTTATTATTCTTTTCTGGAAACTTCTGGAAACTTCTAAGCTCCTCCCACCAATTATAGACTCGATCAATGCTCAATCTATCGGCAAATGTGTCTTGACACGCTTCGAATTTTGTGGTGTCACACGTGGCACCAGCCAATGAGATGGCTGAAAAATTAAGCTAAAATGGCCCTTTAAAAGGGAAAGGACCTACCAATTAGAGCTAGAAATATTAGTTTTTGGAGCATTTTTCAAGCAATTGCAGTTTAAAAAAAAATAGGGAAAAGTGGAAACAAATTGCATTTCAGCTATAATAATAAGATTAACATTCTCTCTGCGTCTCCTAGTTCCTTATGATCTTTGGAAGGTTGAATGATAAGAGAATTGACAAATGGTAATCAGATTTTTTCAGCTGGAAATCGGTGATGTGGAATTTTTTGCTTAGAAAATTTGTAAGATGGGTCAGGACCCTATTATCCTTGTCAGAGAAAAAAAAGGTTGAGTCGAAGTGTATGCGACGTTTGTAAACAAATATCTGAAAGCGTAAACAACCGGAAACAGTTGAAACGAGTGCGACAGTAACCCGGCGGGAAAA